ATGAAACACAAATATATATGTTTTCAACTTGCATTCTAAACAACGTATCACATATGTATTAAAATGCACATATAGAGCAGATGTGCTCTAAATATATTTATAGCATGTATAAAATATATACATATAAAAGATCATTACATATCACATATATAACTCATGTGCAGTTAAGCAAATTATGTATACATTGTCACATCTCGAGAAATTTCACCTAGACATAGGAAGTTAAAAATTAGGATAACGGTTGTCACACCTCCTTTATTACCACATTATACATCAATTGAAACCATTATGATTCATTTCCCAAAGCTCAAGAATGAAAATTTTCAAGTTCAAAATTTTCCATTTTCATGCTGTCCATACCTGTTCATAGCATTTTAGGTTAATTTTGAAAATTCATAACTAAATGTAAAAAAATCAAAACTAAGTGGTTCCAATTTCTATGTGGAACTTATTATGCCTTCTATAAGGAAAAATTACTCACTAGACTCATATCCATCTCAAACAGAGCCAGAAAATTTGACAAGTTACACTGTTCATTTGGTTAATTTTCGAATTTTTAGTATTTTTGCCCAACTTTGGAAGGGCATCACTCTTAACACAAAACTTTAAATTTAGTGGTTTACCACTTATTTTAAAGCTAAAAATGAGATCTATAAGACTGTCAAGTTTTAGATCCAACTCCATCCATTTGCTCATTATTTTATGTGGCACAAATTTGTCCCTAATTTAGGCCATTTTATCCCCTAATTACCTTTTTCTTGCATTTCTTTTCCCTTTTTCCAAATTCCAATCCATTTGAGCATCCCATGATGCATAATTACCGCATTCAAACACATTGTATAACCATGGATATAAGGCAATACAAACCATAATCCATTAGAACATTGTCATAAAGTTGTCAATGTCACATCCAGTAATAGGATAATTAGGAATAAGAAATATTTATAAATAATTAAGGGCCAAAAATGATAAGGAGAAATAGAAGAATTTTGGTGAAAAATAATTATTATTTTCCAAGTCAATTATGAAAATTTGACTAATTAAGGAAAATTGGTCAAAAATAATTATGGAAAAATATTTCCAAACCTCAGAAAATTAAGAAAAAATAAGGATAATATTCTTTGATAATTATATGAGATTATATAATTGGTTTTATGACCAAATTACCCTTAAAAAATTACAAAGGAATTTAAGGGTAATTTAGGCTAATTTAAGGGCTTTTATTTGAAAAATTCCAAACAAATATTTTTAAGGAAAATAAAATTCCAAGAAAATTTTTATGATATCCCAAGGAATTATAAGAGATTATGGAATTAAAAGAAGACCTTTAAATATCCAAGATTTTTTCTAATTTCTTGAAAAGTGGAAAAATCACTAAATAGAAGGAAATTAGTTTTCCTTTTTATTTAATTATTGAGAATTTGATTTTGAGACAAAGAGGGCATTTTGGGAAGATAAAAATGAGGAGAATAAATTATGGATCTGATAGAAAACAATTACAAAGGCCAGAGTACTATAATTATAGAAAAGAAATTAAACCCGGAGTAAAAGTGCACCGATAAAGTGAAGATTAGAGTCTTACACTTCAAATGGCCCATATTTTGCCATGTGTCAAGCCCCTTGTAACACCTTACGTTTATACCAATTAAATTGCCTTGCGAAAGTATTTGGAATCACTTTTGAAGACTACAAGTTATGAAAAATCAAGTTTGAAAATTTTCTTTTTCGAATTACTATTCATTGTAACCCTAAAATGTGGCAACTTTGAAAATTCATAACTAATTGTAAAAAAATCAAAATCAAGTGATTCTAAGTTCTACGGAAAACTCTTTGGATAAACTTTTGAGGAAAAATAGTTTCTGGACTAATTGCCTTGAAATTTGAGCCCAATTTTCTTTGAAATTTTTTTTATTCATTTGGTCATTTTTGGATTTTTACCTTATTTTTGCCTAAATTTGGAAAGGCACAACTTTCTGCTCGGTTGTCAGAATCATGAAAACTACATCTCATTTTAAAGAGAAAAATCTGATCTCTTTGCTTGCCAAATTTCATAATCTAACTCACTCGTTTGCTGAAATGGTTGTTGGTCAAACTTTGATCCATTTTAGTTGACTTTTTACCCCTCTTGGAAGGGTAACTTACGTTAATTGACCATTTACCATCATAACATACTCCCCTTAGCTATACTAGCTATTTCTAACATGCTTGCACTATTTTAATCATGCTTGCATACTTCTAACCTTAATCACTATTGGAAACTTAAAGCATGCTTACTATTACATTCTTCCAAAATAGAAAGGTTCAAAGCCATATAAAGTCACTATGGCTTACTACCTCTTCAAGTAAGAGCCAACTCCCTTCCTTTGCCCTTGGATGTTGAAGGCCCTAGGGTTTGTTTAAATAATGGGGTAAGATTCTTGGGGAATCTTAGTAGCAATTGCATACATTATCAAGGTCACACAATACATTGTAAATTAAGCTACATGCATGTATACTTTAACTTTATGTTTATGCTATGGCAAGGACATATTGATAGAGGAGCATGGCATGATCAAGCATCAAAGGAAGACCAAAACACGGAGCGTGGAGCCCAAGCTAAAAGATGGAAGTCTAATATTCTAAAAGACCCATTACAAGGCATTGCAGGCCCAATGACAAGAGCAAGGACCAAATCTATGAAAGAGGCACTGAATTGTTTGATAAAAGATCTTAAAGAGTTAGAGCCCATTTATTTGGAAGAAGCATCTCTCAATCAGCCCATCAAGGGTCTAAACATGGTGATTACATTGCTAGAAGCCAAACAAGATGATGTACAAGGCCCATGTGTGGTCCAGATTGAAGAATTCACTCAAAATACCATGTGACAAGGATGTGCCTTGGAGGAGGAGCATAAGTGACGTCCAAGAATAGTCAAGAAGCATCAAGAAGGCGTCTTTATGTATTAGTTATAGTTTAATTTCATTTTTTTAAGTTTCCATTTTTATTTGCATTAAATAAGGCCTTTTGGTCAAAGATTACGTAAGAATATTTTAGGTTAGTTTCCTATTTTTAGGTAGCAGCCTTTTTCTTCAAGAAAAGGTAATTTCCTATTTCCTTTAGCCTTAATTGGTAACAACCAAGATAGTCAATCATCATTAAGGCACATTTATGGCATTTATGACCTAGGGTTTTTTATTCTAGATTGTTCTTTTGCTGCCTATGTAAGGCTACGTTTTTTGTAATTGGGGATCAGATTTGAATGAATGAATTTTAGAGAATTTTATTTCTCTTGAGTGAGCTTTGCTTGCCGCCTCGTATTCTCGTGGGAATACTCGACTATATCAAGGACTGATCATCCTTGTGGTGTCTCCATGGCTAGGGTTGTAAGAGACAGGTTCTCTAAAGGTCCTACCTTCGATCGTTCGTCTAGTTTCCTAACTTGTTTCTAGTCGATCTGTATCCGTTCCTTATATCATTTGGCATCAGAGCTAAGGTTCGCTAGAATTCAAGTTCTATCCTTTTATCTATTATTTCTGTTTTCTTGTTTCATCTTCTTAATTCTATCATTCGTTCTTCGTCCCTTGCTTCCATCAATTTGTTTCTTTGCCTTTCCACCTCCTATTTGTGTTTTTTTTGTGACTTTCTGTGTTCCTTTGAGCAGTAAAAAAGGAAAAAGAGAGAAAAAAATTCGTACACCAAAAAAAAGAAAAAAAAAGTGTTGTGTTGTGATAAAAAAAGGGAGTGCTAGAAAAAAAAAAGAAAAAAAATCCGAAAATTCAAAAAAAAGAAGGAGAAGCTGCAGATTTGAGAATTGCAATGTTAAAGATGAGTTTCCTAAAATTGAGAAGAGCTTCCATTACAAGTCATAACTAGTTTCCTAAATCGTTAAACTTGGGTGGTAAGAGTTCTTATTTCCTCTCTTTGCATGTTTCCTAATTTCTTCTTGTTTCCTATTTTTTTGTTTTCCTTTCCTTTTTTTTCCGTATTGCTTAATTTGAGTTTCTTTTCTTTTCCTTCAAGTTTCCTATTTGCTTCCTTCCTTCCATATCTCACCTTCCTAACTTGATTTGCTTTTCTTGCAAGGTGCCCAATTTCCTAAATTATTTTCAAGGTAGCACCTTTCCTAAATATTTTCTTCCTTTTTTTTTCCTTTCTTTTCTAATTCATAGCTTTCCATATTCTCCTTTCTTTTTTCCTTTTACGTTTTTTTTCTTTCCTCTCTTCCTTCCTTTTCATTTTTTTTAGTACCTATCCTTCTTCTTTTATCACATATTCCTTTCTTATCTCTTATATTTTCTAGTTCTTGCAATTCTGGTTGTGGAGATTACCATTTACTAAAATTGTCTCTTGATTTTGTTGAGTTTCAATCAAGAATACTATAGGAGGCAAGTTTGAGTGGTAAAAGGCGAGAGTGTTATCACATCAATTTAAAAGCCAGATTTGAGTTAAGCACGAGTGACACTACAATTTCTTGAGAGAAACACGTGAGTAGAGTGGTAAGGTCCCTTCTTACTATTTCATTTCTCTTTGATCACACTAACGTTTCAATTTCAAGATGAGTGACAGAGAAGCCAATATGGAAGAATTCAACACAGATCCTAAGCTGTTCATGAGAGCCATGAGAGATGAATTTCTCAAACTCAAGTTGGAGCTAGAGGAGCTAAAAGCATCCAAAGCAAGTAGTGGTGAGGAGGAGGTGATTAGATCTGGTTCTTCATCCTCAAAGAATAGGAGCAGACCTGAAAAACGTGATTTGGACACCTATGACCCAAAGATCAAGTACCCTACCTTCCAGGGTAATATAAATCCAGATGTATACCTTGATTGGGAGATGAAGTTTGAGCAAATCTTCAGAATGAATGACTGGCCAGAAGAAAAGAAGGTAAAAATTGCTTCATATCAATTTTTTGACTATGCTATTGTTTGGTGGGAAGATTTACAGCTTAAAAGGCGCCTTAAGGGCAAAGGACCACCTCATACATTGTCAAAACTAAAGAAACTCCTGCGCAAAAAGTATGTCCCTAGTTACTACTACCGAGAGCTAAATAGAAAGTTACGACTGTTTGGCCAAGTTCATGCACATATTCATCTACAGTCATAGAGCCTTGGCCAAACAGTCGTAACTTTCTATTTAGCTCTCGGTAGTAGTAACTAGGGACATACTTGTTGCGCAGGAGTTTCTTTAGTTTTGACCATATATGAGGTGGTCCTTTGCCCTTAAGGCGCCTTTTAAGCTGTAAATCTTCCCACCAAACAATAGCATAGTCAAAAAATTGATATGAAGCAATTTTTACCTTCTTTTCTTCTGGCCAGTCATTCATTCTGAAGATTTGCTCAAACTTCATCTCCCAATCAAGGTATGCATCTGGATTTATATTACCCTGGAAGGTAGGGTACTTGATCTTTGGGTCATAGGTGTCCAAATCACATTTTTCAGGTCTGCTCCTATTCTTTGAGGATGAAGAACCAGATCTAATCACCTCCTCCTCACCACTACTTGCTTTGGATGCTTTTAGCTCCTCTAGCTCCAACTTGAGTTTGAGAAATTCATCTCTCATGGCTCTATGAACAGCTTAGGATCTGTGTTGAATTCTTCCATATTGGCTTCTCTGTCACTCATCTTGAAATTGAAACGTTAGTGTGATCAAAGAGAAATGAAATAGTAAGAAGGGACCTTACCACTCTACTCGCGTGTTTCTCTCAAGAAATTGTAGTGTCACTCGTGTTTAACTCAAATCTGGCTTTTAAATTGATGTGATAACACTCTTTCCTTTTACCACTCAAACTTGCCTCCTATAGTATTCTTGATTGAAACTCAACGAAATCAAGAGACAATGTTAGTAAATGGTAATCTCCACAACCAGAATTGCAAGAACCAGAAAATATAAGAGATAAGAAAGGAATATGTGATAAAAGAAGAAGGATAGGTACTAAAAAAATGAAAAGGAAGGAAAAGAGGAGAGAAAAAAAAGTAAAAGGAAAAAAGAAAGGAGAATATGGTAAGCTATGAATTAGAAAAGAAGGGAAAAAAAGGAAGAAAATATTTAGGAAAGGTGCTACCTTGAAAATAATTTAGGAAATTGGGCACCTTGCAAGAAAAGCAAATCAAGTTAGGAAGGTGAGATATGGAAGGAAGGAAGCAAATAGGAAACTTGAAGGAAAAGGAAAGAAACTCAAATTAAGCAATATGGAAAAAAAAAGGAAAGGAAAACAAAAAAAATAGGAAACAAGAAGAAATTAGGAAACATGCAAAGAGTGGAAATAAGAACTCTTACCACCTAAGTTTAACGATTTAGGAAATTAGTTATGACTTGTAATGGAAGCTCTTCTCAATTTTAGGAAACTCATCTTTAACATTGCAATTCTCAAATCTGCAGCTTCTCCTTCTTTTTTTTGAATTTTCGGATTTTTTTCTTTTTTTTTTCTAGCACTCCCTTTTTTTATCACAACACAACACTTTTTCTTTTCTTTTTTTTGGTGTACGAATTTTTTTCTCTCTTTTTCCTTTTTTACTGCTCAAAGGAACACAGAAAGTCACAAAAAAAACACAAATAGGAGGTGGAAAGGCAAAGAAACAAATTGATGGAAGCAAGGGACGAAGAACGAATGATAGAATTAAGAAGATGAAACAAGAAAACAGAAATAATAGATAAAAGGATAGAACTTGAATTCTAGCGAACCTTAGCTCTGATGCCAAATGATATAAGGAACGGATACAGATCGACTAGAAACAAGTTAGGAAACTAGACGAACGATCGAAGGTAGGACCTTAAGAGAACCTGTCTCTTACAACCCTAGCCATGGAGACACCACAAGGATGATCAGTCCTTGATACAATTGAGTATTCCCACGAGAATACGAGGCGGCAAGCAAAGCTCACTCAAGAGAAATAAAATTCTCTAAAATTCATTCATTCAAATCTGATCCCCAATTACAAAAAACGTAGCCTTACAAAGGCAGCAAAAGAACAATCTAGAATAAAAAAACCCTAGGTCATAAATGCCATAAATGTGCCTTAATGATGATTGACTATCTTGGTTGTTACCAATTAAGGCTAAAGGAAATAGGAAATTACCTTTTCTTGAAGAAAAAGGCTGCTACCTAAAAATAGGAAACTAACCTAAAATATTCTTATGCAATCTTTGACCAAAAGGCCTTATTTAATGCAAATAAAAATGGAAACTTAAAAAAACGAAATTAAACCATAACTAATACATAACGACGCCTTCTTGATGCTTCTTGAATATTCTTGGACGTCACTTATGCTCCTCCTCCAAGGCACATGCTTGTCACATGGTATTTTGAGTGAATTCTTCAATCTGGACTGCACATGGGCCTTGTACATCATCTTGTTTGGCTTCTAGCAATGTAATCACCATGTTTGGACCCTTGATGGGCTGATTGAGGGATGCTTCTTCCAAATAAATGGGCTCTAACTCTCTAAGATCTTTTATCAAACAATTCAGTGCCTCTTTCATAGATTTGGTCCTTGCTCTTGTCATTGGGCCTGCAATGCCTTGTAATGGGTCTTTTAGAATATTGGACTTCCATCTTTTAGCTTGGGCTCCACGCTCCGTGTTTTGGTATTCCTTTGATGCTTGATCATGCCATGCTCCTCTATCATCCCTATTAGGGAAATGACTTTCCATCATCATCAAAATAACATAAAACCAACATATAATCATTATAACTTGAAATAGAAGAGTTGTAGAAGCTTACCTTGCTTCTAAGTGACTTCCTCTCACTAGAACTCCTCTCTTTCTCTCTCTAAGTGAAATTTTGTAAGAGTTTCCCTACTTGAATGGCCTTGCACGAAATGAACATGTGGGGGGTATTTATAGGCTTCACATTTTCATTAATTCCACACATGCCCTTCTTGCATAAGACTTGATCTTGGCCTTCCAATTTTTACCTCTTTCCAAATGTACAAATCTTAAGCTATGTGACTTAATATGTTGACGCTTGGATGGTGAGTCATTAGGGCTTATGTTATCTCTTCTTATCCATTAAGATTAATTAGGCTTTAATCAAGGTTAACTCTCTTGATTCCTTGATTAACTTGGCTAATTACCCTTCTAGAAGCTTTTGACTTTTCAAAGATAGATGGTTGAATCCTAGCCATCCAATGAATCATGTTTGCCATGTGTCAAGATCTTATGAAAAATGACTTAACCATAATCATCTTACTTAACCTTAATTAGATTTTAATCTAACTTGATTTATTATTTTCTTTTTCTTTTTCCTTTCTTTTTCTTTTTACCTTAGCCAATTTGGGCATGACATGTGTCCTTGACATTCTGTTAGAAATTTTTACAACCCCGATTGTCCTGACAATCTACTGAATCTTAATATAATATTGGTTTATTTTATCTGATAGCTGAAAAATTCTAGTATCTCAGAATTCTTATATCGACTTACCATTAATTATATCTCAGTAAAGCAAATTTTCCTGATTAATTTCATAATTTTTCTACCCCTATAACTCTTTAAATTGCCGATTCTGTAAAAACGGACAATCTACTAATATTAATTTAGCTTTAAATTCAATTAAAGCTAACCTCCTTAACATTTAGGGTTAGAAATAATTTTATAAATCTCTATAATTCCTAAATGAATTTTCTTTAATTTTTCATAATTTTCTGAGATCTCTAGGTATTTTTAATAATTGATATTGGCCAATTTTCCCTAATTTAGCTAAAATATTAATAATTAAAATAATTTTTGATAAATTATTTTCAACCTGTATTTACTTCCTAGACCTCAAATACCATTCTACGGCATTAATTCTATCTTCCATGATTTACTAGAAATTTTTTGGATTTTCATACACTAATTACGATAATGCCCTTTATAGAACAATCATTTCAAAAATGACAATTTGGTCCTTTTCTAGTTTTCACTTTAATTGCTGTGCTGTTTATCTATCTTTTATCTCACCTGGCCTTGGTCAACCCTAATTCCTTCATTAATCATGTTAAAGATATCAGGGTATGACATATTTTCCTATTTCTGGATTAGAAATTTTGGGATGTTATACCCCTAATGGAGAGTATTTGAATTTGCCAAGTGTCACACCTCAAGTGGAGAGGATTTTGACTTTTGGTAATTAATTAGTTTTGGATTTAGTTAATTAAGAAAGATAATGTAAGATTAAGTAGGGGATTGACACTTGGATTTTCATTAATGAGGTGGTTGAGATATTTTGGCCATTAAAGAGATCAATCCTCCCCCTATTTTCAGATTCATTTTTGGCCAAGGGAGAAAGGAGAGGAAAAGAGAGAGCTTGAAGGAGGAATCAAGAGAAAGTGAGCAACTTTGGTCATCCAACTAAAGATTTAAGGTTAGTTTTTGATTCTAAGTTGTTCCTTACCTTGTTTTCATGATTTGTATGGTTGGAATTTCTGGTTTTCCCTTTTATTTGGAGCTAGCCGAAATGCTTATTGAGTAGGGGAGGAAGTTTTGTTGTTCAAACTTGTTAGAACACTTCAAAGCATGATATTTTCAAGTGGTTTCAAGTAGTTGTAGGTTGTTTTGAAGAGATTTCTTTGTTGTGTTTCATGAAGAGTTGTTTGGCCAAGGCAGTAACTAGACCCTAGGATGAGTTTTTAAATGTTTTGATGCTTCCATAGTGTTTAAAATGGAAAATGGTGTAGGATAACCCTAGAGAATATGTGTTGGAAGCTTTAGAATCAAAGATGAAATTTTTAGATAATGAACCCTATAGGTTCGATCAGTTTGAATCTAGAAGAAGGAGTTTTATTTTCTTAAAATCCAATTGCATATTTGGAATCTACATGAAAAATCATGTAGGAATGAGCCAAGAGAGAATTTTTAGGGTTAAGGAAACAAGCTCTAAAAATTAAAGAACAAAGGTAGAAGCTTTAAAGGGTTTAAAGAGTTACTTGAATTATGTTGCTGATTTTTATGTGGAATGGTTGGTAATCTTGCTACCCTTTTTGTGGTTTGTCATGTTAGGGTTTGACATTTGTGAAGGAAAGGAAGAAAAACAAAGAAAGCACAAGCATTTGGAGCAAGGTAGCAAAGTTTAACCTAACTACTAACGTTAACTTTGCATTGTTGATTATTGCATGATTGATTGCTATTATGTGGATGAACTTTGCTAATTGTGATATGGGTGCTCTTTGCACTTTATTTATTTGGCCTTTGCATGATTGAGATTCCCAAATTATAAGAATGCTAGTTCACCAATAGTAGCTCATATGGTTATGCATAATAATGATGCTTGTTGATGGTATAGTTGGTTAATTTTGCTATTAGGATTAAATCTAATCTTTTAGGAGCTGAATCATCAAAGGGCAAGCTACAAATTCAAGGTTAATTATGGTGCCAAACCATAAAAATTCGTTGACTTTGGTTATGTAATTAATCTGGTTGTTCAGTGTTGTAACCCTAACTAAACCGTCGACTTGGAGTGACGTTTTGCCTATGTTCCCAAACGTTTTAAATCACGAAATTTGGCACGATTATAGAGTACATCTTGAGATTCAATTTGATAGGTAGTACATTAAAAATAGCCAACTACATGATTTTTGGTGAT